ACCAGGGCGTGTGCCCCTGGGGGATGGGATCTGAGACCAGGGCGTGTGCCCATGGGGGGATCTGAGACCAGGACGTTTGCCCATAGGGGGTGGGATCTGAGACCAGGGCGTGTGCCCAAGGGGGGATCTGAGACCAGGGTGTGTGCCCATGGGGGGGCAGGGGTTGAGAACAGGGTGTAGGATCCAGTTGTTCTGGGATCTGGTTATTAACTAGCCGTCTCCTCTCCAGGCTGCTGGCTGGCCGGGCACAGCGGCGTGTCGGAAGGTGAGTATCAGTTTGTGGGGAGGACGATAACATCAAGGACGGGGGAGGGGATACGTGGGATGGAGAAAAGAGGAACTGAGCCCTGAACCTTCCCCAAAACTCAACCCAAACTCCCCCCGTGAGCTCAGACCCGGCCCCGTTCTTCTGTGAACCTCCCCCGTCCTGGCCCCGCTAGGGAATAACTAGGAGCTGAATCTGGCTCGTGGGGTCTGACGAAGCAGATGGGAACCGTCCTCTAGTTTAATGTCCTGCCCCCACCCCCCACCCCCAGGCTGTGAGGATCGGGGGTGGGGGCGACACGTGGATTTATTTCAGCTCATACAAATGTTAACAGGGCCCATCCATGGGCTCTAGATCCCCTCGGGGAACCGAAACATTTATGGTCAGTGCAGCCGCAGGCAGAACCCCCAGATCCTCCCCTGCCCCGAGATCCACCCCCAACACCTCCCTCCCCTGCACTCACAGCCCCACCCCCCGATCCCATGGCCTGGGGAAAGGTGGGTCTTGTGAGACTCCTGCCAGTCACAGACTCTATTTCCAACCCCGGGGTGGGGGGCAGAGCTGCAGGGGGCCCACTGGTCAGGCTCCCTGGCTGGCCTCAGGCGGGGCCGGGGGGGCAGGGAATCTCTCCTGCATCTGGGTCATGAGCTACGTCTGGGTGAACCCCCTGCCCCCTAACCCCATGGGCAGGCAGTGCCAACCCTGGTAGGGGACAGACTCCTAGAGAGGCCAAATGACGGATGGACTGAATTGGGGTGGGGAGAGGCGGGGGGCTGTGTCTCCCCTGTTTAACTCCTGTCTCTTGTTGAGAGCAGGGCAAGAATACCCCAAACCCACCATCTGGGTGAGCCCCAGCAGGGTGGTGGCGCTCGGGGGAAACGTCACCATCCGCTGTGAGGGTTTGTACCGGGACATGGAGTTCTTTCTGCATAAAGCTGGACAACCGAACCCGCAGAGGCAGACGGTGCCTGATGGGACCGTGGCTGAATTTCCCATTGCCAGTGTCAGCCGGGAAGATC